ATGGCGATACTGTCGATAGTCAATCTCGAACAACTTGCCAACTGTCTAGTTTGTGTTTCACATGACTTTAACGTAGGTACTTGGGGTCTCTTTGAATATCTTTATTAAGATACAAACAACTCGTAAACAAAAAAAAAATGTTAACTTACAATTTAAAGAAACTACGGAAATCGTTAAAATAACTATGGAAAGTTTCTAAAATCGAATGTAAATATGTAGTAATTACAACTAAGTGTAAAAGTTTAAGTAACATCCTGTTTTTAATTTAAAAAAAAACGTTTAATTATCGTTTCATAAACCTAATTAAACGTACCTAAAGTTATCATTGCTCTGTCGTATTTATTACGTCGCTCAAGTACACTAAACACAACGTAACCGCAGATTAAAAATGCGTATAGTTTTAGAATGTAGTGGAATCGCTTCCCACGAGCGCGCTTGAAACTGGATCAAGCTGTGACACATAGCTGGCACTTAAACCGTAATGCTGGCAATTTAGCTACCAACCACCGCCGTAACAAGACCGCCACTCCAAATGGCCTTCACTATCGCTGCTCCAGTGACTGTTTTTACCCACGAAGCATAGGTAGACGGCTTTTTCTCCTCTTGAATGCGCGCGATCACGACTTTTTTACAAACGGTTCGTTTCTGGAACGGAAAGGTATTAAGGGCGAGGCGATAATTTCCGTTTTCTTATTCATTAAAAATGTAAATGAAAATTGCAGAAAATTGTCGCAATTTTTTTCGCAGATGCCTTTTGGCAGACTATTGGCAGGCTTAATTTTTAATTAGGAATTAAGTAAGTTATGAACCATGATGACATATAACGTAGTTAATTTCAAAAATGAAAAATGATATCTACGAAAAATCACGATTCGTATGTGAGGTTTTAGCATGTATAAATTCCTAAGAAACTATAACTGAGCCCTTAAAGTTTTAAGTATCTATTCTAAGCGGCCTTAGTAGGCGAATAACGAGGACAGATCAGTTGAAATGGACAATTAAATCTCGCAGTTTACGACCGTTTGTAAAGGGTTTATGAGCGAAGGCTAGAGAAATTGCCCTTTAGCGGGCAATCAGTTCGGGTTCATTGTGTTAATAGAACTGTTATCAATTATTATTAGGGCGACTCCGATGGAATAACAAATTGCGATTGTGGTGGGTCGTGTGTCAAAGTGATGATTTAAATACAACACTTTAACGGTTTAAAAGGAGAAATATATAAATTAAACCTATTTAAAAATGATTTTAACTACGACCTGACGTTTCGGAAGTTTTGCAGTATCCGTGAATGGGTCAAATGGGTATAACTAACATATTTAAAGGGTTAAAGTATTTTATTCAAACAGTATTTATAAGGATTTCACTTCAAAGTGACAATACAGTTTGAGAATGCAAGCATGTTGATCGACGTGGCTTCGTCGCGAGGGGTTTTAATAGGGCGGCCGCTGTCATGCTTCAGCCTCTGGCAGTTGCATAATGTGCTTGCGTGAGCGATCGTCACATTCTCATACTGCCTGGAGGTTCACAACACGAGTAGCTTGCAACGTTGATCCATTCTCTAACAAAGCAGAAGTTATTGACCTATTAAGTATTACACGAGATAGAGAGTTAGAAAAAGTCGCATTTAAAACGCTTATTCTAACCTAACTAACCGTTAACGACTAACAAAAAATTTACAAATAAAATAAAACAAAAACTATTTTCTATTTCGTACTAATGCCTCTTCATAACTGTAAACGTTTTCTAGATTTTCAAAATAGTTTTAAATTCTACGAATCAGTAATTGACTTCCGTTTTTGCAAAGATTAGTCACTCAAATCTATTTATAATGGCGGGTATAGTTTTCCACCAAACTTAAATTTTGCCACAAAATTGTGGTGTCGCTGTCTGATGGACATAATTGGTCCATTATACGATTCCAGTGAGTCAGTCTCAGTTAGGAATGACCAAGTTATAATTTAGGTCGAACCGTGACTCTATTTGCATGTAGGGCGAGCGATCCCCACAAACAACTGTTTTATATTACTTCTATTCCATCGCCACGTAAGCACTTGGCCCAAACCAATTTTACTATTCGTTCTACGTCAAGAATCCTGGCCATCTTTAGACGCCGCTATTTACATTTCTTTCACGATTTTAATAGAGCTCCTGGTACCGCAGTCGCGTTATTGCCGATGTGTTTATTCAAGCTATAAGTCACTCCCATAATGCAGTTTCAACGGATTATATCAGCGAGTTGCGTCGCAGGGACGATTTAAATTGCAAAAGTGACGTCTGGTTAACGCTTCTATTACTCGCGGTGACTAAGCATTGCGTAGATATCTCACGAGGAGTGATTTTGCATGACAAAATATTCCCGCGAAACTATCCAGCGATGGTTCGCGGCTTCAAAATCCAATTTTTCACTGTCGGCTGTAAACTAAACATCCACGTCATCGTTTCGCCTGATGACTGTCGAAAAATGTTAATGCAATTTTCGTACGCAAGGGCACCGTAAAATATTACCTTTTGCGTCCCCACCTATAAATAGCTGAGAGGATAGCTCGTTTGTTTTGATATCACTCGAGTCGGCCAGGACGGCCATCCATCCACGTCGCCTACGAATAAATAGAGCTGCGACGTCGTCATGTTTCGCATAAAATGCGAGCTCGAAAACAGGATCAGTAAGTCAATGTGCAATTACGGAGTCGGAATGCACCGAAAGGGGGCAGTCGTGCGGTTAGCTGATCTGTTTTGTTCTGGCGTCAGTCTTGACATAGGCATCTGTTTCCCAGTTTGTCGGCTATGCGCAGCGATGTTGCGATAAAGCTGGGCATAATCGGGTTAGGCACGCTGTCGCTCAGCGGCCTAACTACTAATTGCCCCGGCCGTGCTCTGTGAACCGTTATATCGGGCGCTAAAATATTACCAACTAAATATGCATTTATATCACTCGATCAGGCGAGATTGACGTCGCGATAACATAATTTTCCGAGGCGACTTGAGCAATCGACGGCGTTGATTTTAATTCATTTTTGGTCTCTATCATATTAATCGATATACAATACGATAACTATTTTCACAAAATGTTTCTTAAATTGTTGACTCAGCGCAATTATTATATAATGAAATCTAAATATTTTACCAAATCATAATACCTATAATGAAATTTCGGTAATGAGTTAGTATGCGATTATGATCTCATGTAAAGCCTTCTGAAAAATAAAGAAACATAAAACTGTAGATTTATTTATTTGTTATATAGACCAAGACCGACACTCCCTACTGTGGCCATAATAGAATAACAATACTATCAAATTAATTTAAAAATACTGCTCAAGATATAACAAATTACATTTCGTATATTGCAAATTGACAAGGCTGGCATATATTACAGTAGTTGTCTACGCTGCCCTAGATCCGTTGGTTTTGTAACACGATTTCGTTGAGAATTTACGTCTCAATCCCTTTCAGTTGCACTCAGTTATATCACAAAAGCTCATTTACTATTGACATTGATTGTAAATAAACTGTCATTGTACTGTCGATATTGTATTGTGCGGTTGCGAAACGCAAAGCGAATAATAAGGAAATCCTAAATAGACGCTAATATAAATATTTTTGTTGCAACTCTCGAGAGGCAACGAGCACGAGCATTGTTACTCACGCGCATGTACCGATGTCGAAAACGAAATTGAAATTGATTCTGCATGACATTTGCTCGAACTTACCTTGCGTCACGTTGTCGCTCTGTCTCATTCACTCCTATCGATAAACGATAAGTGTTTGAGATGGATATAACATCATCATAGCATCTATCTAGTCAGTAGTAGGTTATCTTCGTTTTGTCTCGAAATAGTCGTGGTAACCGGAGATGGATTCGAAATGCATACGTTTTTCAACTATATTTAGCGACTTCCAGCTGAGTAATTAATTAACTTACACTAACGCGTAATCATACGTGGCTAACGACGATTTGTCTACATAGATTTATGTCGAAGTTACAATAAGCAGTAAATAAGTGAATAGTAATATTCCCAGCTTTCCTTTTTACTATCGGCACAATAAAGGAAGGAATGTACGATCAGATATATTAATGCGGTCTCCATTAAACGATTAAGCGCAGTCCTCTCATCTGCATGCGAGGCAGTGGTTGTCTTTAAAGTGCAGCCGAACGGATAAATTCGGATTTGTAGTCGCAATGCCGTTTCGAATACGCTCCCAAACTGCAGCAGTTGCACACGAAGCTTAGACGTTATTGTGTTGCCTCGGTTTCGTTTCGCCGACTTGCACTTCCGAATATTCAGATTAGCGTGTTATTAGAGCTCATAATAGTTTAGTATCGAGAGCTTATTTTAGGAGAACTTCGTTTTTCACTTAAATTTTATCTTAAGCTAGAATCGATTAGAAAATGCTTTGTTAAGAGTACATATCTTATTTATCATTAAAGTTTTTTCTATGATAGAGGAGGACACACAATCATTGGGTGCACATGATGTAAAGTGAAATAGCTATATACAATACAATTTCAAGAAGATGTGCTGTCGACCCATTTTCGCTTTGGTTATTCAGAAAACATAATTAAAACCGAAGCGTGATTAAGCTTATGACTTTTTTAAGTCCAATATATTAAAAAAAAAATACTTATTAGAAAAGACGTTAGACGTTATAGTGTTTTATTTAAATAATTAACGTGTTTCTATACACGTTAATTATTTAAATAAAACACTTTAAACGGTTTAAAACGCGATATATTAGTTAAACTTATTTGAAAATTATTTTTAACTTCGGCGAGTTTCGGATGCTTTGCAGCAGCCGTGGTCACGGGAGATGATAATAAGTTTAACTAATATATCGCGTTTTAAACCGTTAAAGTGTTTTATTTAAATGTGTACTACTCGCGTAAACTATAGACGTTAATTATTATCAACAATTGCTACCAATATACCGATTGGCCCATTAAACATATCCGAACGTTCCGCTTAACACATAACAGCATAAGTACTTAGAACTATTAGAGATTAATTCGTTGCATATTCTATTACGATGACGTAGGTATGAATGGCTCTTAGCCCTCTCTGTATATTTGGGACGAGTCCCAGGAACCAGCTAGAGCTGTTAGGCACAAGAGCGGGTGGCGCTGCATAACTGATTAAAGCACACAATCGGAACTGAGTTCGGCAAAGCCCTTCGAATTTACGACGTGCCCGAGCGGCGCTTATCGCGCTGACGATCTGCCCAACGCGCACGGACTGCTCCGCACACATATTTTATTTTATTCGCGCTACTGTGATGTAATGAGCTGATAAATGGGAGAAAACCACCAATTAGTGTCGATGAATTTATTGTTTCTACTTAAAAACGTAGGAGGGCCGTGTAGGTGCTTAATCTCGAATTGCATTTTAAATTTGCCCCTCGGATTCAATCGACAATTAGATGATTGCAATTATACGGAATGACAATTAAGTGAGGTCTCGTGACCGTATCTAGATGGAGTTAATGCGGCCTCTTTTTATTCGTCTTAGTGAGCTTAATGCCTTCTGTGCTGCGTAAATAGCGTAGTGCTGTTTGCTAACCGCTACTTTGCGTTTCTTATTTAAAGGATGTGTCGTTTTTCTCTCATCCTTTGAGTTGAGCATTGTGCCTTCTATAAAGAGAATAAAAGTAAGACTTGTATGCCATTTTCAAACTTTATAAATGTTTAAAAGCCCACCTATACCTATTTTACTATCTCATTATCGTCTATTCCAAAAACTTGCGTATTATAAACGTAGCTTAAAAGAAAAAAAGAAGGATTTAGACTTTTGAAAACTTTCCGTGCTCAATTGATAGAGCAACTGCACGGAACGCTGACGATATTGGTTCAGGTCCTGCCCGAGTCGAATTTTTTTTCAATTTATTTTCGACTTAAAGGATTTAGACTATAAAACATTTGCGACCAATAGAATTGAAGAAACAGAGGGAAATGTGGAAAAAAGTCGGAATATTATTCATCTTTGATGGATTCTAAGATATTAAAAAAATATATTTCTCCTAAAAGGATAAAAAAACTCGTCCGCGACGTATATATACGTCTTTTATGAACTCACAAGAATGACGGGACGCGGACGACGTCTTGAGTAAAAGCTATTATGTATAAAGCTGAGATAAATAATATAATGGCCAAAATAATTCCACGCGATCGAAGCGGCGTGCACAGCTAGTTAGTTGTAATATAGAAGGTGTCTAAACTTCAGCATATGAAGACCATTTGTATAAACGTTTAGAAATAACGTTATCGCTATAATAACGTCGTACATGCCCAGTGCAGTCCATTTAGCCCAAATATGTTGTAACAATGCTCCACTAGCATTTAGTACGTAATAAGTAGTGGCCCAGTTAAATTCTGTGGACAATGCTGACGGTCGTTCACCCGCAGTTAGTAAATCAAATTAGGCCATGAATCCGCTCCGCTGTTTGTAGATATGAAATGCTCTTTTGGTGAATAAATCCTTTTAATACACAGAGATGAATTGTTTTCTTTGGATTCTATACGATTAAAGTCCTAGGTTTTGGTATATTCTAAGGACTAACTGACCCGGCAATCTTTATTTTGTCATATAAAGTATTTTGGCCAAAATGTTATACAATAAAAACGGTTCTTGTGTGGTCGGTCTTTAAGGTGTGTATATAAAATAGACATATACCTACTGTCGCGGAATTTTTTTACATTATTTAAAGAGGAATAATTCTTTCATACATATTTTTAGATATCTTGAGCCGTTTTCGTAGCGTACTCAACGGAAACTCTCAAAGATGAATAACATTCCCATTTTTTTTTACAATTCACACTGTTTCGTCGCTCCTATCAGTTGCAGGGAGATGTTTTACAGCCTCGATAAATGCTCTAAACAATACAAAAATAATTTTTCGATTCGAACAACTTGTTCCTTAGATCAGCGCGTTCAACTAACAATGCTGCAGTGTTATAATATTAGTATTGATAATCTTTTAAGTTAATGTAAACTATCTACATTTAATATAACTATAGGTAAAGCTTAAAAAAGCTTTCCTATAAGCACGTGCTACGTGTTAATCGGTCAAGACGGAAGACAAATCGACTAGTCCGAATTAAAAAGGGTAAAATGGCAAATGGGCCGGGTCACCCGTTACGGGAGCCGGTCTGTTGATTTATCTCGCTTCATTACATGACTCTGTTTCATTAGACTCGCCGCCCTTGCCGGATATCGGACGTTTATTGCGACTGTACTGTTACTTGTAGAAGTAACACTGACATTACAATATGTACAGTCGATCGCTAAAGTTAATACTTGTCATTATATATACATTGCGACACTAGGTTTTCTTTGTTTTAATGGTTTACAAAAGTCTATATTTTTTGCAAAAGTATTTTTTTGCACAAGACAAAACACATTCCTGATCCATTCTATAAGTATACCTAAAATATTCTCCATTGTTACATTAATAACTGTAAAATTAAATGGGCTTAGTCCAGTAACTTCGTAATAATGATTAAAGGTATTTTGTGAATAAGGTTTTGGAGCCGATGATACCTGTATTAACTCCTTGCACAATGTTTAAGTCACGCAACCACACTGATTCAAATCGAAAGTATGTAATTAAAAATGTTTAACGCTCTTAATAACCCAATTTATTTATGTCCTTTTCTCGTGATTTTATTTTACTTTTGATTTTGATCAGTGTAATATCAAGAATGATGCAAACAATTAATGTATTAACACACTTATCCTTTTCGTGTAAGCGTCTGGACTATTATACATTCCCATATTTTAATTTAGGGCAGAAAATATTTTTCAATTAGGTTAATAGATACAACGAACGTTCTCGCACAAAAGAACATCTACTTAACTCACACACCAATATCATTATCTTAAGTGAACGTTTAAAAGAACATTAATATAAAACAATAATATTTGATCCATATCTCCGTATTATTATAAACGCAGGCGCAACCGACCAGAGTTTCTATATAAAAGAGTTCAACGCGTTCGTTATGTAAACGTTTTATCTAATTCAGCTGTCACATTAACATAATCTAATAGCATGATATTAAGGTTACCAATGAATATTGTCTAGCTTAAATCAGTTCTATGCTGCATTTAATTTGCTATTACGTTAACGATATCAATAATGGTTTATTTATTATACGACAGTGTAAGTTATTGAACGTTAGATGTTTTGTTCAATGTTAAGTTCGCCTTATATGTTTTTAATTCTAATGCTATCAAGGATAATATGTGCTTATGAAAAGGAAATACTTGCAGGTAATGATAATCTACACTAATATATAAGGCTGAAGAGTTTGTTTGTTTGTTTGAACGCGTTAATCTCGTGAACTACTGGTGGTGGAATGGCTAGGTCATTTATCGAGGAAGGCTATTGGCTACAAAACATCGCGCTGTGACTAATAATAGCTGGGAAATTATTTATGGTTGTGGGTTTCCGTTGCGTACGCTGCGAAAACGATTCAAGATACCGAAAAATATGTAATCAAGAATGATTCCTCTTTGAAAAATTAAAAAAAAAGTTTGCGACGTTATTTGTCTATCTTTTAAGATAAACTTGCAAGAACTACGCGGATGAAATGTATAGAGTTGATCAGGAGGTTTACAAAAACAAACTTGATGCCCAAATGAACTATTCTACGCGGACGAAGTCGCTGATTTAGTAGTAATAAATCCGTAGAAACGGTTTAAAATAGGTATAATTAAGCATGTGACACTTTTTCGTATTAATAAATTAAAGTTTAAGTATCGGTAGTAATAAAACGAAAAAGGCAGGAACAAGCATGACTGTCATTTCAATTACCGATTTCAACGTTGTGCATGAATTTATCTTGACATCGAGATAAGGCCCAGTAGATTCTAGACGATAAACGAGACACGTGGGCGAGCCAGAAAATTCCAGGCGCATTAAAACAGCAATAAATAAAAACTCTTATTAACTCACGTATCCACGATTTGTTTAAAACAGAAGTCTAGACTTTTAATTAAAATAATTGATTCGATTTATGCGATATCAAAGACGTAAAACTCATTCGGAGCGATATTAAAACGTCTACGTTTCTATAAGTTATAGCTTCCTTATATATTTGTGTGGATATTTTTATCGCGATAACTGGTTTTTAGGAGTCCACTGTTGATTAAGTTTGTGCTAAAATATGTTTTCTTTAATAAATTGGATAAGAATGCGTGACAAAAGCTAATATATAATGTTTTCCACAAAAAATAGAATACTAATTTAGCCAAATGAATTCATTATTTATGTCCTTGTTTTATCACTGTAATATTTACTAGTCTGATGTAAAAAAAACTAAGGGTGTTACTGTCTAATACATACTATATATTTTTAATTTTTAATCTTGAAAGCAATTGAAGGATTGATTAAGTGTCCACATTGTAAATAACTAACTAGGTACTTATTTTCTTTTTGTTTCTACCCTTCAATTAAAAGAACTGCTATGCTCGAAAACCCCTAAATTAGTGTTAGTAGTTTTTGTTGTGACATTTAGTTCTCACGGCGGAAATATTTGTGTACTTCACGGAGTGTTTTAATTAAAATTTGTATCAGCAAAAAGTGTATTGATAGGCGTTTGTAAGCTCAAGCCTTAAACAGTAATGTCGGTGGCGGATTGCGTAGCCGTCGGTTGCTTAGCAATTATTCACGCCGTATTACTTAGAATCTTTATCTTCAAGATAACAGCTTAGATAAAACAGCTAGTCCATTTGCTGCCAGTGACAAGGTGTAATCTGCGAAACGTATTATTGTTCAAGGTCTTTGATAAACGCATTTTGTTTTTAATCTGTATACACTCGTGAAGAAATGAAATATTTAAACGATTTTTAATAATAAAATAAATGTTTAAAGATAAGATTGAAGAATCTTTGACTCAAGTGGGCATCGATCCCGCGACAGATTTGATCAATTCTAATCAATTAACGAAATTATTATATGTACTTATTTCTTCAGTGCCCACGTACCTAAATTAGTTTTGATATTTAAATTCTAAAGGTCGGCCTTTAAAGACATTGGAAACCACGAAGATGGCATACAGATTAAAATACCTCCCCTGTTTGTAATTAAGGCCGCCCTATAGTAATTCCTTAAAAAGGCGTCCATTGTACTGTAATTGTAACGTCAGCGGCCATTTTGACCGCGGGTGGGGTCAAAAAGAACCCGCCTCGCGTTTCCGCCACGGAATAATTAAATAATACCCCACCATGGGTCCCCCTTTCCACGCGATTCG